TCCTTTCTGTCTCCACAGGGCTGCCAAAACTCAAAAACTCACTGCCCTCCAGTCATTCCGACTCATTGCCACCCCCATGGGGTTTCCAAGGCTATAAATCTTTACTGCCTCCTCTTTATTCCCCAGAGTGGCTGGTGGGCTTGAACCACTAACCTTTTGTTAGCAGCCAAGTGCCTTAACCACTACACCACCAGAGCTTCTTATATAGTTTCCTGTTCTAGGTATTTCCTGTAAGTGGGGTTGTACAGTATGTGTTATTTTTGTGACTGACTTAGGTCACTCATCTTAATGTTTTCAAGGTCCCTCATGTCACTGCAGGTACCAGAACTTTATTCCTCTTTGTGGCCGAGTAATAATATTCCATGGTGTGTGTGTGGACCGCGTCTTGTTTACCCATTCATCTGTTGGTGGCCACTTGGGTTGTTTCCACCTTTTGGCTGCTGTGAATCGTGCCGCGATGAACATTGGTGGCCTGTTTGTGCCCCCACTTTCAGCTATTTTGGGTGGATGCCTGGAGTGGAATGGCAGGGTCATTGGCAAGTCTGTGTTTAACTTTTGGGGGAGCCGCCAAATGGTTTTCCACGGCAGCTATACCACTTTCCATTCAGATTTCTCCACATCCTCACCAGGTTTATTTTTCAGTGTGTTTTGATAACAGCCATCCTCAAAAAAAAAAAAAAAAAAAAACCAAAAAACAAATTCATTGCCATTGAGTCCATTCTGACTCATAGCGACCCCCATAGGCTTTTGAAGACTGTAAGTCTTTATGGAAGCAGACTGTCTCATCATTCTTCCTTGGAGTGGCTGATGGGGTTTGATCCACCAACCATTCGGTTAGCAGCCAAATGCTTTAACCACTACACCACCAGACCAGCAGCCAGTACAGTGGGGGTGAAGTGCTGTCTCATTGTGATTGCCATTTGCATTTGTGTAATAACTAAGATCATTGAGCATCCTTTAATGGGCCATCCGCCGGGGGTGTTCATCTTCAGAGAGACGTCTGTGTGTGTGTCCTTTGCTCATTTTTCCGATGAGGTGGTTTCCTTTTGGCTGCCCAGTTGTAGGTGTTCTTCATATGGTCCGCTGGCAAACCCCCATCCGAATTACAGATACCGTCTCTCATTCTGTAGGGTGTCTTTTCACGGCTTCTGTTGCTCCAGCTTTTAGTGTCTTATCTAAGAATCCATGACCAAAATCAAGATCCTGAAGATTGACCCCTGTATTTTCTTCTAAGCGTTCTAAGGTGGTAGTGCTTGTATTTTGGTTGTTAATCCCTTTTGAGTTAATTTTCATGCTCCCTGATTATATATATATATATATATATATATATGTATGTATTTCTTTTTTTTAATTGTGATTTGGGTGAAAATTTACATAGCAAATTTACTTTCCATACAGCAGTTCACATACACTTTGTCTCATGACATTGACCACAATTTACCACAATGCAACAGCCCCCCTCCCACTTCCTCCCTATGGTCACCTCTTCCCTGTGTCCATCCCTCCATGCACTCCTGCCCCCTGAGCTGTCTCCCTGTTCATTAACAGCCCTTCTTTCTCCCATGATTGTTCTCTCCAAGGAGTGTATGTACCTCAGATAAATGTTCAGCTCATATGCCTGTCTGTTGTTTGGTTGGAAGCCACAGGTGTGGGTCCAATTCCAGACCTGAAGGGCAGCTAGGGGCCATAGTCTCAGTGGTTCTACCAGGCTCTATCAGACCAGCAAACCTGGTCCCCCTCCCCCTTTTTTTTTCCAAATGATTTTGAGCTTTGTTCCATATTGTTCTCCTTCTCTATCCAGAATCTCCTACATAGATCCTCTTCCAAGCAGTTGACAGTAGTAGCCAGGCACCATCTAGTTCTTCTGGTCTCATAGTCATATAGGCTGCAGATCGGATGGTATACCAGTCGCTAGGACTAATTGTTTCCATGAATTTTTGTTTTTCTTCATTCGTCTTTGCTCTGGACGAGGAGAGACCCATCGTTTCATCTAGATGGCAGCTTGCAAGCTTTTAAGATCCAGTCACTACTCACCACAGTAGGGGGTGGGACAATGTTTTGTGTAGTATGTTATGCCAATTTGCTCCCTGATTTTTGACGTTTACCTCAAAACCCTCACACCCAGGAAGCCTAGGGTCATGCAGGGGAATTTGCTTCCTCTTCGGGTTTCCACAAGGAGCTCTGGTGGCGTAGCGGCTAAGGCATTTTGGCTGCTAATCAGAAGGTCAGCGGTTCAAATAAACCAGCCACTCTGGAGGAGGATGGTGAGGCAATCTACTTGTGTAAAGATTTACAGCCTTGGAAACCCAATGAGGGTCGCTATGAGTCAGGATCAGCTTGACGGCAGCGGGCTTGGGTTTTTTAGGGTTTCCATACCCCAGTGTCTCACTGGAGTCCCCGGGTGGTGCAGTGGTTAGTGAACTTGGCTGCTGACTGAAAGGTTGAAGGTTTGAGTCCACGAGAGGTAACTTGGAAGAAAGGCCTGGTGATGTTCAGAAAAACCGACTGTTGAAAACCCAGGGGAGCCAGTTCTGCCCTGACACACGCGGGGCTGCCGTGGGTCAGAGTTCACTCAGAGACAGCTGTGGTTTGTGGGGTTTTGAAGTGTCTCAGGGCCCTCCTTGTCCAGCTGTCTCTGGCTGTGTCCTTGGGCACCGAGCTCTCTGTCCCCAGTGTTACCCGGCACGGAGACGTTTCTGTGTTCGTTCCTTCAACAGTTGTTTCCTTTGCACCTACTCCAGGTCCTGTGTGGACAAGAGTGAAACAGACGAGGCCTTGGCCTCCCAGAGCCGAGTCGGGCAGGGGTCTGAGATCCAGCTGGCCTGACCGTGTTGCCTCTGAGGTCAGGCAGAGCTGAGACCCTGCCGTGTTCTTTCAGGAACAGAGACGGCTCAGGCAGGAGCAGGACCGTGTGGAGGGTCTTCGCCAGAGACTCCGGGAGGCCCAGGGACAACTCGATTCCCAGCCAGAGGACCAGCGGGAGCTGCTTCTGCAGGAGGTGCAGGAGGTGAGGGCCTCCCAGCCTCTCGGGGACCTGGTGTCCAGTACCCAGGAGTCCGGGCCCGGCCCCTCCTCCCTCAGACCTGGGAGTCTCCACCCCCCACCCCGCCCCATCGCCTCTTCACTCTGACCGGGGAGTCCAGGCCCCCCGGACTCCTCCTCCCTCAGACCCAGGAGTCCAGCCCCTTGCCCCCGGCCCTGCCTCTCTTTCCTTACCAGCCAGGAGTCCTGGTCCCCAGGCCCTGGGATCCAGACCCCCAGCCTTTTCTGCCCTCCCCTGCAGATGAGGGAACAGCTGGAGCTAGCCCAGCGTGCCTATGAGGACCTGGAGTTCCAGCAGCTGGAGCACGAGAGCCGGCGGGAGGAGGAGGGTCGGCACAGCCCTGGGGCCCGGGCACTCGACCCCAAGGTGCAGGAGCTTCAGGCCAGTGTGGCACAGCACAAGGTGAGTTGGCCCTGCTGGCCCTGCCTCCCCGGCCAGCCCCGTCCGTCCGCCCTGCTCTGTGCCTAAGCCTTTCCCCACCATGGCGTCCCGCCCGTGCCACGTCCCTTGGAACAGTAACTGATAGCAGATGACTTGACAGTTACTGTGTGCCCAGCACTGTTCTAAGCATATCGTGAGTATCAGCGCATTCAGTGCTTGCAACAGGTCTGTGAGGTGACATGTGAGGGGTGGGAGTAGCATCTGAACCTGCCTAAGAAGCACCATCAGCCCAGAGCTGATTCCTACAAGGCAGAGGTCCGACATACCTCCTCTCTCCAGTCTTTGTACCAGTTCTCACACCAGCCGTCCCTCCCCCAGCACTCTCTACTCCTCTGATGGGTTCAGTAATTCATTGCAATTGAACTCTGTTCAGAAAAACTGACTGTTGAAAACCCTGGGGAGCACAGTTCTGCCCCACAGAACTCACAGACAATGCTCATGATTATGGGGTTCGTTAAGGTAGTAACAGGCTACAATTCAGGATCAGGACGAACTTGGAAGTAACAGGATGTCTTCAATCAGCCGGCCTCTTCTTAGGCCGTGCCTGCAGGCTGGCCTCGGCCCCGGGGCCCTGCTCGGGCCTGGTCTCTGTCGTACTCGGGCAAGCATTACAGCTCTTTGGCCCCTGCTCGTAAGTGTCTGGAGGCCCCCATTCTGCCAGCCAGCCACTCAGCTCTCTCGGGCACAGAGTCGACAAGCCCATTGTAGCCACCTTGCTCTGTGGACCGGAAAGTCTGCTGCACCATCTCATGCCGATCTCCTGGTTCTTCCGCCGCCGTTTCTCTGTCTCTGGCCTTTGCCATGCTTGCTGTGGCTTCTCACCATCTTGCTCTGTCTTCGTTGTTACAGTTCTCTCTCTGTGTTCTGGGTCTAGGAGGTTCTTGGTACAGGGACCCTGGGTCCAAAGGACATATCTACACTCGGCTCTTATTCTTGACAGTAGTGAGGTCTCCCATGACCTGTGTGGGACTGGCTCTTTCAAGCCTGTTGTTGTTGTAATGTGCCGTCGAGTCGGCCCCGACTCATAGCAACCCTTCCTTGGGTTTCCGAGGCAGTATCACTAAGGAAGTAGGATTGCCCAACCTTCCTTCCGAGGTGTGGCTGGTGGGTTTGAACCGCCAGCCTTCTGGTTAGCAGTCAAGTGCTTTAGCCACTATGCTACCAGAGCTCCTTTCAAGCCTAGTAGGATGGCAAAACTGACCAATTCCCTCGTTAGGGTTCTATGCACCTTATTTGCATGGTCCTACCCAGTTTCTTCATGGCAGTTACAAGACCGTGTTTATAACAGCAATTCACAGTGCACCACACAGGTCCTATTGCGTCTTTTCCATTTTATAAATGGAGACACTGAAGCTCCAGGTGCTCAAGTCACTATTTCCAAGGTGACGTAGTTTGTACAAAGGAGCTTTGGTGGCATAGTGCCTAAGGCATTTGACTGCTAACCAAACGGCCAGCAGTTCAAACCTACCGGCTGCTCTGGGGAAGAAGAGTAAGGCAATCTACTTCCGTAAGGATTTACAGACTTGGAAACCCAACAGGAGTTGCTGTGAGTCAGAGCAGACTTCAACAGCAGTGGGTTTGGTTTTGGTTTGGTAGTTGGTAGAGGGTACAACTGGGAGCTCTGGTGGTGTAGTGCCTAAGGCATTTGACTGCTAACCAGAAGGCTGGCGGTTCAAACCCACCAGCCACTCCTTGGAAGGAAGGTTGGGCAATCTACTTCCATAGTGATACCTCCTCAGAAACCCAAGGAGGGGTTGCTCTGAGTCGGATCCCACTTGATGGCAGTGAGTTTGGTTTTCTTTGGGGGTAGAACTGGCTTTGAACCTGCTCAGTTGTCATCACAACACAGCTTCTTAACCTCTAGTCCTGAAATATGCTCCCACCAGTCCCTTCTGGGAGCTTCACTGCAAGTCCTGAGGGGGAAAAGCAACCTGTATGTGAAGCCATTTCCCAGAGTTCTTGGTAGAAAGCTCTGGGTGGGTCTCCTTCCCCACCTCTGTCTGCATCTCTCTCTGTCATACTCTCGTTTCCCCTCGTATGTCTCCATGTTCCTCCCCGTCTCTGTTCCCTCCTCTCTCTGCACGTCTGTCTGTCTGCTTCCTCTTGGTCACTCTTCTCTGTGTCTCTTTTGCCTCTCTCTCTTGGTCCCTTCTCTTGGTGACGTGCTCTGGGTCTCGATCTCTCGCGACTCCCTCAGCTCTCTCTGTATGTCGAATCCACCACCCTTCCACCCTGCCCAGGTCTCTTCTGGACCCCCAAGGGAGGAGGGCACCAGGGAGCTCAAGCCAGAGTCCCCTCCCCGGGCAGCTAGGTCCCAGGGCTCTGTGAGCAGGTGCTGCAGATTCCAGGTTCTCAAGGAGGACCCGGTTCTGGGGGAAGGTGGGCCTGGTTCTGGGGATGGGTGGGCATGGGGAACCAACTGGGGGCCTGGGGCCAGCTGAGTAACCTGGCCTCGGGGGTGCCCTGCAGCGTCGGATCCAGGTCTTGGAGGAGCAGCTCAAGTCGCTGGGGGAGCAGATGGTGGCTGAGAGCCGGGGGCTGAGCCGGAAGAAGGAGGAGGCCCTTCAGGCCCTGACACAGGTGAGTCTCCCCAGAGACCTGGTCCTACATCCTCCCTTCCTCCGGGGGCACCTCACCTCTTCCCTGTCCCTAGGTGTCTCCTTGTGTCGGGAAAAGCTGCTGGGAGGCCCCTCCCGCCTTTGCGAGGAGGATGGCCCTGCATTCTTGCCTTCCCCAGGAGCGGACCCGGCTGCTGGAACTCAGTCGCCTTCAGGGAGCGCCCGGCGGGGACTTCTCGGAGCCCAACCAGGCCCTTACTAAGGTATGGGGTTCCCTGTGCTGTCAGTCATTCTCCCCCAAGCCCCCCAGGAGTGCAGGTCCCCAGCCCCTCCTCCTGCAGACCCCAAAAGTCCCAGCCCCAGCCCCTTGCTCCTTGAGATCCTGGAGTCCCAGAGTACAACCCTTTCGTCCTGCAGACCTAGGAGTCCGGGCCCCCAGTGCTCCCCTTCCTCAGGCCTAGGAGTCCCCACCCACAATCTTCCTGTCCCTCCAACCCAGGAGTCTGGCTCCAAGCCCCTGTCCTTCCTCAGACCAGGGCTCTGGGCTCCCAGCCCCCCACTCCCAGACCCAGGGGTCTAGGCCCCCAGCCCCTCTGCCCTCAGACCCTGGAAGTCTCAGCCCTAGCTCCTTCCTCCCTGAAGTCCAGGAGCCTGGGCCCCCAACCTTCTCCTCCCTCAGACTTCAAAGTCCTGGCCCTCAGCTTCCTCCCGCCTCAGCCCCTGAGCCCCAGCCCCTGAGCCCCTCGTGACATGGAGGAGTCCCGGCCCCCAGGTCCTTGCTCTCAGGGAACTGGCAGTTTCCACCCACAGTGCAGCTTACGCAGGGGGGCTCAACGCTGAGCAGGCACCACACCCGAGCTCTTCATGGGCCTCCGGGCTTCAGTGTTTCCACCTGGGAAACGGGCTGGTGCTGGAGGCCTGGGCCGGAGCACCCGGGGACCGGGCTCCTCGGTGGCCCCTCCGCTCCCGCTAACCTTCACCCCGTCTGTCATCTGTCGTCTGTCGCAGCTCCTGTTCACCCACAAGACGGACCGCCGGCTGCTGGTGCTGCAGGACCCCGCCGCCCGCACCGCAGGCACCGCTGCCTCTTCCTGCCTCCTCTCGGTCCACAGCTCCCTGCAGGTGGGCCCCCCACTCCCTTGTTTTTCCTGAGTCTGGGTGTCAGCAGGGAGGGGCTGAGAGGAGATGGCCCACTGTGGGGGTGGGCTGTCCCCAGAACTTTCACTATGGCTCCCTGTGCCATGGGGGGTTGAGGGGTGAGGGTGGGGAAGTTCATCGGTGGGATCTTTATTAGGCGTTAGCCTGCCCCAAAACAAAATGGCAGAAAGGGGACATTTGTACCCAGGAATAAATTGTAAAAGCGCTCAAACAGGGCATATCGCTAAGAAGGTCTCCTGCAGTACCCAGTCTTCCTTCCAAAGAGTGGCTGGTGGGTTTGAACTGCCAGCCTTCTGGTTAGCAGTCAGATGCCTTAGGCACTATGCCCCAGAGCTCTCCTGTAAAGATAAACAGGCTTGGAAACCCTATGGGGCAGTTCTGTTCTGTCCTTTAGGGGTGCTGTGAGTCGGAATTGACTCAGTGGCAGTGGTTATTTTTTTTTAAATTGTTTCGTGCAATTTTTTCCCCAAAAAAGTGGTTATGTTAACTACTAGTTGCTTCTTTTTTAACTTCATATTATTTCACAGAGATTGTTTTCTGTGGACATGTGTAGCCCCTCATGACTCTTCATGACTGTAATGCTACCAGTATTCGCAATGACAGGAACACTGAAGTTCATGGTGTTGAGTCCTGTCGTACCAAGGAGCTCTGGTGGCGCAGTGCCTAAGGCATTTGACTGCTAACCAGAAGGTTGGCAGTTCAAACCCACCAGCCACTCCACAGAAGGAAGACTGGGCAATCTACTCCCGTAGAGTTACCTCCTCAGAAACGGACAGGGGGTCTCTATGAGTCAGAATTGACTTGAAGGCAGTGAGTTTCGTGGTTTGTTTTCTGGTGTACCAGGCACTGTTATAAATGCATTATGTGAGTTCACTCTTCAGTCTTTGGGTTCTGTTATCTTCATTTTATAGGCAGAGAACCTGGGGCAGAGAGGTTAAGTTACAAGTGTGTGGCAGAGCTGGGATTTCAATCAAAAACCAAAAACCCACTGCCATCGAGTTGTTTCCAATTCATAGTGACCCTGTAGGGCAGAGTAGAACTGCCCCAGAGGCTTTCCAGTGCTGTAACTTTTTATAGGAGCAGACTGCCTCATCTTTCTCCCACGGAGTGGCTCGTGGGTTTGAACTGCCAATCCTTTTGTTAGCAGCCAAATGCCTTAACCACTGCGCCATCAGAGCACCTTCTTTTGAACCCAGGCCCTCTGTTTCTAGAGCCTGTGCTCTTACCCACTCTGGGTTCTGGGTAGTACCCTATTCTGCCAGGTAGACGTTGAGTCCACTCTGCAGATGGTGACTGGAGGTTTTTGCAGTTTAAACAATGCTGTTAGGAGTGTGTGTGTGTGTGCGTATGTGTGTGCGTGCACGTGCGTGCATGTGTGTCGGTCCATCTTTGTACCAGCGAGTTAAACCAGTTGCTGTTGAGTCAATTCGAACTCATGGAGAGACCCCGTGTATGTCGCAGAAGAGCTGTGCTCCACAAGGTTTTCAGTGGGTGGTTCCTTCCAAAGCAGATCACCAGGCCTTTCTTCTGAGGTGCCTATAAACCAAAAACCAAGCCCACTGCCATCGAGTCAGTTCTGATGCACAGCGTCCCCCATTGGGTTTCTGAGGCAGTAAATCTTTACAGAAGTAGATTGCCCAATTTTTCTTCCGCAGAGTGGCTGGTGGGTTTGAACCGACAACCTTCTGGTTAGCAGTCAAATGCCTTAGTCACCGCGCCACCAGAGCTCCTTTGAGGTGCCTCTGGGTGGACTCACCTCCAGCCTTTCAGTTAGCAGCCAAGTGTGTGTACTGTTTATGTCACCCAGCAACTCCTTCATAGCAATTAATCTGTAGTTAATTAATGACAAATGATGTTACATTTATGTAAAATATATAACATACACCATATAACAATAAGCATTAACAGTTTTCTAGTATGAAACTATCATTAATAATCAATACCTAATGAACAGTAATACACATCATAATATTGCTATTGATTTTTCTCAGAATGCTGTTAATTTGTTTATCACTGTATGGTGCTTGTTATATATCATTTGTCATTAATTTAAGGAGGTCTGGTGGTGCAGTGGTTAAAGCATTCGGCTGCTAACCAGAAAGTCTAGTTCCAACCCACCAGCTGCTCAGCAGGAAAAAGATGAAGCAGCCTGCTTCCGTAAAGATTTACAGCCTTGGAAATGCCTTTGGGCAGTTCTATTCTGTCCTATGGAACTGACTGGTTAACAGCTGAATTTTTTTTTTTTTTTTTAATTAGGATTTGGGTGAAGATTTAC